TAAAAATAATTTTAAGAAAACAATTAAATTGAAATAAAAATTCAAATATGAAAAGGATCTATAACACCTATTGTATACAAAATACGCTGCAAAAATCTTTTTCTCACACTCAATCAGAGGAGGACGCATGGTCGCCCTGGCCTCCAACCCAAACCCTAACACCTTCTTCCAATTTTAACATGCAAACTTTAGAGTACGATATACCCCTCGTTTTTCAATGAAAACGCACGATGTAAACACCAAAAATCAAGATCAAAATGTGTAGAATACAATAGCATCAAGAATTTTTTGAAATGAAGCACGAATCATAGAGAAAATAAGGCATGAAAACAAGTTCAAACATATAGATCTAACATTTAAACTTCAAATCCATATTTCTCTCTTAATACTCAACCAATTAACACAATTCAAACATCAATATTATTCACAAAATAACAAGGATTCATGTGATGCTCGTGGATTTTTCAAACGATGCTGGATCACAACAAAAAAAGAACACTAAGTCACTGATACATGAAGTTCGTACAATTTGAAGAAAACACCAATCAAGCTTCAATTCACACACATGTATACATTAGACCTATAATCTGGCCAACTAGCATCTCAGGAACGTGCTTCAAAGCATTAAATCAAATTGGAATGGAGAATTCAAAGTTCATGGAAACTTACCTCAAAGTGAAAAATAAATTCACTATGCCTCTGGTTATAGCTCAATAGAAACCCGATAATCTTCTTTCCTTAGCTCCAATGATGAAGAAATGAATGAGAGTTGAGAGCTGGAGCCAAGAATTCAAGCAATTCAAAGATAACTTGAAGAAGAGAGTGAAAGGTCATATCTGATTTGTGAGCAATGAAGAGTGTGTGTGTTGTAATGAAGAGAATGATGTGCTTATAAAGAGTGAGAAAGAGTATTGAGTAAGCTTTCTTTGAGGGAAAGAAGTCTTTTTGAAGTTCAAAACCGTTGGAGGGAATTATGGATAAATCTTGACAAAAATGGAAATGGAAGCAGTAACCTGCGTTTTGCTTTGTGTAAGGTGATGTCTTTGTGTAGTTTTAGTGAGAAATTAGAGTGAGATAAGAGTTAAAAAGGTGTGAGCACATAATGGAAACCGTACAACTCATGAGTGGAAAGAAGAAAGTTGCTTATAATAGCAAGGAGTGTGAAATGTATGCATGTACAACATGGGACTGCTTGGCTCATTTTGGGAAAGAAAATTATGTGAACATGATATGCAGCGTGTGCATGATAAAAATCATGCAGCAAATACCCTAATATGCACAAGAATTTATTCCTGCCTTGGTATGCATGAACATAGAGACATCCATGACCAATATTCAATATCTTTATCATCTCTTGTGTGTTTCTCATAAACTTGATACCTTTGGAAAGCTAAGATGATATACTTCAAAGCTGATGTTGAGAAAAGATGATTTGAAGCTTGTGAGAACCCTAAAACTTGGCACAAAAATCTGGAATCTTGACTTGGCAATCCTAGCACGTGCGCAAATTGGTTGGTCATGCTTATACTTTGTCATATTTAAAACCTCAAATGCCAAGCATGATATCTCTCTTACTACTGAACCAAATGATATAATGTAAAGAGCAAAGTTGTGGAGGAGAGTTCCAATTTCACTTTTGATGTTGATGACTTTTAAAAAAAAAGAAGAATGATTCCATAAGAAAAATTATGATGAACATGTTCCCAAAAGGTGTTTGATAAAAGTCCTGGCCTGAGGCGCGCGGGCTTCTCATGCTGGGCAAGTTGACAACTTCAAACAATAAAATCCTAAACTCAATATCTCATTATACACTGAACCAAATGAAATAATATTTGAAACAAAGTTGGAGGGGATTCAACAAAATTCAATTCTCTAGTTGACACTTTTTAAAATTGAATTCATTTGGATCTTCAAAACTGGCCATGAAGAGAGTGGATTTTTAGGTGAAAACCTTAAAATTCTCTTAGTGTCAAAAAATTTCTAAGCACCATAACTTCTTCTCCTTTCACTTTTTGGACATGAGCTCACAAGGACAAAGTTGAATAACTTTTCTTCCTCTTTCCAAGCATGAAAAGTTTGCATTTTTTCAATAAAAAATGAAGAAGTTGTGAATTTTTGAAATTCAGCCTTATAAGTTTCCATACTTAGAAAATTTTCAAATTTCATCAAGATACCTTAATGAACAAGTTAACTTCAAAATTCATCATTCTCTTGAATTTATTAAACAATAGGCCATGTGATATTGAAACATGATCATTGACTTCAACTTTGACCATAATTCCCCTTGGTCAACAATTGACTTTTGTTGACTTTTGCTCATATGACTATTTTACCCCTCCCCCCAATTGATCAATTGAACCACCTCCTATCAAATTGATGCTCAATCTTTCAATCATAGGTGCTCATGGACATGTAGAAAAGCATTGAGCCAAGTCTTTCCCAAAAAGTCAGAGATATCCTAATTAAATCCAAAACCCTAATTTTGGCCCCTTATGCTTCGAGATGATGATCCACTCTAAAAAACCTAATTCCAAGGAACAGGATGAGAAATTATGTAAACAAAGATATCTCATGTGACAATGAGAGGATGTTACTTCACAAATTTGTCCCACACAAGTATCAAGCACTTCATATGGCCAAAACCCTAATCTCAAGAGATGCATATGAGAATAGTGATTTAAGAATCAACACTTGCAATTTCAAACTTTTGATGAGTCAAAGAGACAATTTAGATGTCTTGAGGTATGAGAAACCCTTATAGCTTGAGTAACTCAAAGAATGAGGGTATGAGACCCTTCTTGCATTGATTGATAACACAACCACCTTTCATAGCTTGCAAAGGAACTTGGGAGTCAAAATACTTTGATCCTATCACAGTGTATGAATGCATATGATGAAACATAAGCCTTTAAAGTTCTAAAAACAAGAGGGTAAATTTTTGGGTGCAACATCGTCGAGCACACTATTGTAATACATGACCTCAACGTCAAAGAGGGCTGACGCTTCCATAAAAAATTCTACAAAACCTAAGGAGGAAGAACCGTGGTCAGAATCACTCAAAGAAGAGAGGGTAAAACCATAAACCTCTCTTGTGACCCAATTAAACTCCTCTTGACCTAAAGCACCCTTCATCTCACGCATGCATTGGTTCCATAAATCTTTCCTCTCTTCGGTATTAGAGGGTTTTACAGCATTTCCATCTCCGTCACACTCTTCTGAATAACCATAATCTAAACGGGCAAAACAAAAATGAAAGAGTAAAAGGAAATACCTGGAAAAATGGAGAACACTTGAGGGAGATTGAATGCTCTATTGAAAGATGTAACGCCTTATGGAAATACCAAAGATAGAAAAGGAAAGAAGAGGATATGGTTTTAATAGAGCCTAATGAACAGTGCACTAGGCGTAGGAAACGTCACCCAATGAGCAGAAGTTTAGGTGGAAGTCATCATTACTCTAGGAAAGAAAAAATGATGACTCTTTATTTTTTGCCACGTATGGAAAAGTTAATGGACGATGTGTAAGCCGGGGGTACCTTCAATATTTTTCGTGACTTTGTGACCGAAAACTGTATCCTCGCCGAAAGAGTTTGAATTCAAGGGGCTTATGTACATCTCATAAATATTAGCCTCGGTCGGGTAGTATAATCAGTGATGAAATCATAAGACTAGTAAGTCACTTGATAGAAAATGTCCCCGGTCTGCAACTCGACTAAGGGGCATTGTACAGTCGTAATACCTCTAGGGAGCAGCTTGTGTACACCTTGAACTCGGGAAAGGATGGTGACCACGGCCACTTGCCCATAACGGGCTACCAACCCGGCTCATCAATGCTCGTAACTGTCGCGACGCATTCATTACAATGTTACACATCTTTTATCGTCTTCATTTATGGAGACGACGGAGGTTATGGAGTTACGGAATTCAGGAGTCACTCATTAACTGAGGCTCTTGATGACGCAAAAGAGACATACTATATAAGGGACTCCCGGAAGAGGGATAAATAAAATATTCTTCTTGGGACACATGCTTCACTGACGTAGCTCCCAAATCTCCATCAATCAACAAAATTTACTTATGTGGCTTTCCCAATCTACAACAGGAGACCAGACATATATTTATTCTACAAGAGCACAAAACTATAAACTATTAGTTATCAGCCATAAATCATAAACTACAAACTATCAATTAACTTATTAGTCAACCTCTATTTTTACCAAACAAATCCCAAAACATTTTATTGCTTTATCCATTTTTTTAACAAGTGTCTCAAAATATCAGTTAAAATAATTATAAAAAAATATATCACTTAAAATAATCAAAAATAAATTTTGTATTAGAAACCATAAATTTAAAGTTTATTTTAGATAATTAAACTTAAAAAATGTTACTATATTTATTTTCTTAACGGATAACTAATGACGCTCATTAACATTTTCCAAGTAATTAGAGTGCATTAACTTTAACTTTAAATTAAGTTCCCCTTTCAAGGAAAAATTGTCATGGTGTCAAATCACATCACATATACTATTAATCTCATTAAATTTCTCGCAGAAAACTATCTAACTAAATTTAATATTTTTTGGTGGCAAAATTCCCAAATATGTCCCATTCTCCAATTCGAAGCATGAAATTGTCACAACGAAAACGAACCCAACCTTGAGTAGAGTAAAAAAAAAAGGAGAAGAATTCTAGAACGTAATAATAATAATCCCCAAACCAAACAAAATAATGTCATCCTCATCAACAAAACGACACTGCAGTTAAGACGCACTTGTTTGTCCCCACTTCAAAGCAATCAATAAACGACACGCCGTTTCCATTTTCTTCTTTACTCACCACAAACCTATCTTAAAGTTAAAACCGCTTCCACGTAATTCCCACGCACTACCCAACCAACTTTCCCCCCGGCGATGGTTCCGGATATTCCTCCCGATCCACCACCGCAACCGTAAACACTCCTCCGCCGTAACTAACAACTCCGGCATAAGCAATCTCACAATGTCGTCACCGCAAAACATAAAACAAAAAGTGTTCACGTGTTTAACTAAACTCTCCGATCGCGATACTCACTCCCTCGCCGCAGCCGAACTTGTGACAATTGCTCGGAGTCTTGATACAACAACCGTGCCGGTGTTTCTCTCTTGCTTATACTCCACTGATGCTTCCGATAAATCTCCGGTACGGAAGCAATGTGTTCAGCTCTTTGGATTACTCTCTGAGACACACGGTAACGCGCTTTCTCCTTATCTTTCCAAGATAATCGCCAACATCATCCGCCGTCTCCGTGACACCGACACCTCGGTCCGATCCGCATGTGTGAATTCCGTCTCCGCATTGGCTTGCCACGTCACGAAGCAACCTTTTCTTTCCTTTCTGAAACCGTTATCGGAGGCTCTATTCACGGAGCAAGAACAGAACGCACAGATTGGCGCTGCGCTTTGTCTATCTTCGGCGATCGACGGAGCTCCGGATCCGGACTCGGCTAGGCTGGCCAAGCTGTTGCCGAAGTTTCAGAAGCTGCTTAAGCGTGAGGTGTTTAAGGCCAAACCGGCGCTGTTGACGCTGATCGGAAGCGTGGTTGAAGCAGGTGGCGCGTCCGGTCACGTTTCCTTGAAGAATTTGGTTCCGTGTTTGGTGGAATCGTTGAGTAACGGCGATTGGGCTGTGAGAAAGGCTGCGGGGGAGACGCTGATGGTGTTGGCGAACGTCGAGAGAGATTTCTTGTCGGAATTCAAGTCTGATTGTTTGAAAGTTTTCGAGAATCGAAGATTTGACAAGGTTTTTCAATTTTCACACTCAGGTTTTATTCTTAATGTTTGTTTATGGTAATTTGATAACTTACTTTGATAGTGAATTGGGAGTGTGTGTTTTTTGGTATAGGTAAAATTAGTTCGTGAAGTTATGACTCAAATGTTGGAAACGTGGAAGCATATTCCTGATACTTCTGATGAATTTTCACCACCTCCTAAATCGCAATCTTCTTCAAAAGGTAGTATTAAATTTTGGTATCTAGTGCTTGATTGATTTTGCAGTTGAGAATCTAAGATGTGTAAGCAATAGATCTCTTTACAGAAATAGAAAGCTAGATTGTGTATTGTTTAGTGTCGACCCTTAAAATAGCATTATGATAAATAGAAGGTGAAGAAGAAAAAAACAAAAGTGTTTGTGATGTTTGATCTAACATAATTCATAATTTATTGTGTCTAAAACTAGAATGTGTCGGGGATATCGGTTTGGTAATGTTTCTGTCTGTTTGTGATCTGTTGTATTCATTGTCTATGATTGTTTCTCAAACCTCTTTCTGGGTTTTTGTTTTTGGCTCAGAGAATGGAAGTGATGGGGATTATCCTCCAGTTTCGCAAAGTTCGTGTAACCCTGGTTCAGTAATGGCGAATCTGCGGAGGAAATCAGCTCCTGTTAGCCAATTCAGTCCACCAGATAGTTCTGCTGCTAGCAATGGCAAGAATGTGAGTGCTTTAAGTAGTAGCAAGAGAAGGAGTTCCGGTGTTTCGCGAAAATTAAGCAATCAGAATTGGGATGTTCAAGTGTCCATGACTGATCAGGGTGATCTTCTGGAGAGGGATGAAAACAAAACTTCTTTGGAAACAAGCAAAAGTGGTAAAAGCAGATTCCTAAGGCCAGAAATGAATCGGGCACTGTTAAATAAAAATTCTGATGATAGAATAAAAAAGCACAGTGGCTCCAAAGCTGGATCTCGTGTAGTTCCATATCATGATGAGATTCAAAACTCAGCTCCTGTGAGTAATATCGCCAAAGATCTTTTCAAGAAGGACAAAGAAAGTGAAGAATTATCTTTGATCCGTAACCAATTACACCAAATTGAGAAGCAACAGTCCAGTCTACTTGATCTTCTGCAGGTTTGTTTCTAATTCTTACCATCAAATCAAGCCTTTTATCTGTGTTGTTTTTGTCTGCAAATTTCTGGAAGATCGGTTAACATACTATCGTTGTGTTTGTAAGCTTCATCAGTTTCTCTAGTTGTCATATTTACATGTAGCACGTTCCAATCTTTTAATGATGAACATCTCCAATAATATTCCCTCATATTATTACAGAAATTTATGGGAAGCTCACAAAATGGAATGCAATCTTTAGAGACCCGTGTACATGGCCTTGAGTTGGCACTGGATGATATCTCTTATGATTTGGCTGTATCAAATGGAAGGATAACTAATTCTAATGTCCCTCGTAATACATGTTGCTTGCTACCTGGAGCAGAATTTTTTAGCTCCAAATTCTGGAAAAGAACACAGGGCCAGTATTCATCCCCGTTGCTCTCTAGACGCAATGCTGCTCCATCACTTGCTTCCATGCACTACCCAGCTGGCAGAAATGCTGAGACTAACTTTACGAGCCAAAGATTGAGGCTTGATGGAGGATTCATCACTAATCCTCTGGCAGCGGTACACACTAATTCAAGGGATTTTGCTTGATCAGAGCCAATCTAAGAAGAAGGTTTGTGTTTTGCCTCTGGACTAGGCATAGTCTTGAAACCATCACCCACGGACATGCAACTGAAACCAATCTTGGCACTATACGCGCATCATTCAACTCTTACTCGTATGCCTTTTTTTCATTACTGTATTTCTTACTTTGTTGCAAATGTGCTTGGTCATTTTATTCTCAATCAAAGTAGTGTTACATGATTGATAGAACTTTTGGTCAAAATTGCCTATTCTGTTTCATCAAATTATGATTTAATCAATTTATATACATTTGTTGTGCTACTCGAAAATGCCCTGTGTTATCTTGTTATTGTCGAAGAAGGCGAGAAGCTGGGTGGACTATACATTCTGATAAATGTTGGAAAAGGAGAGTAGATTGGAGTACTTTCACGGGTAAATACGACACTATTGTAAAAGAGGGTGAAATTGTATACGCATTATTATTATTATATACTGTAGGAAACATGCTGCTTTTTTGCATTAAATATTGCGATGTACAATTTCAGAATTATGTTATTACAGTGCTTTCGTTTTAAAAGTTCCACTCAGCTTGTGAATACAGTAGAAATGAAAAGGGTCTAAAATGTTGCCAAAATGATTCTCATGCGCAGACCAATCTATCCCCACCCATCACCTAATAAGTGTTGTACTCCCAAATTTGCCTTTTCATTTCTCAAAAAATCACTCTGGATCATCAGGTTTGTTTCCATCCAATTTCAAGCTTTGAATCACAAATTTTTCAAGAAAGTCGCCTACAAGGGCAAAATGATCATTTTCACACTAAAAAGTCAAATTTTAGCTTTTGGACCAAAACCAAGTTTCAAGAATCATATTTCATCAAGACATGTTGAAGTATGAAGTTTGTTTCACCAAGAGAATCAAAAGTCAATTTACCATGGGAAGAGTCAAAATTTTAAATACTTAGATTTTTTTTAAGTATTTAAGAAGCATGACAAAACTTAGAACTTCTGGCTAAATTTTCGCCTTGATGCAAGTTGATTCTGGATCAGCCTCTGACACAAGAGTTATAGACCCCCACAAGATCTAGAACGTTGCTGAACAAGACTTCTCCTAGCAATGCTGGAATTTCAAGTTATAACTCTTCAGAGACACGTCCTTGAAACTGAAGCACTCAGCAAATTCTGGACACTTTCAAGACAGAGTTTGGTCAGAACTTTTGGGCAAGTTTGCACAAAGTTTCGGCCAGAGTTTGTAAGAGTAAATCAAAGAAGTTTATAAAGTGTGATACAAAGCTTCCTGGAAAGTCTGAAAGCTCCTTCAGAACATGCTGGAGTCAGAAGATAAGAAGATCAGAAGATTGGATGCTACGTTGAAGCAGAACTTCTAATCCAGAGTCTTCCAAGGTAAATCAAAGAAGGTTACTTGGAAGTCTGGGGGATCTTTCAGAGTATGCTAAGGCGGCAAGATACAAAGATCAGAAGTTGGATGTTTGTCCTAGATTACGCTGAAATGGAACTTCTGATCCAGAATTAAGCAATGATGCAAAATCTCACATTACAGGATTTCTGATTTTGACAAATCTCATCATCATTTAATGCTCATTTAATGCTCACAACCACTTTTGAGTCTTTATCCAAAGGATCTCCCCACGTGTGACATAGAAATACCCTTGTTATCCTTAAAAGCAACTTTTATGCAAAAGTATGGGAGGGTCCATGTGTTACTTTTGCTTGTGGGTTTACTTTTCCTTAATCTCTGCTTGCTAATCCAGTCTAGGCTAAAAAACTGTTAATTATCACACCTTTTTTTGAACTTGCTTCAAGAATAAGTCAGCATCTAGCGTGTGATGTTGGCGCTACTTGACCTCTCAAAAACTACAAAATCTTTGCCTATAAATAGAACACCTTGGGCCAATGAAAAGAGGTCGAAAATTTGAGAAACAAAAGTCTTGAACCCATGCCAAAATCCCAAGAGTTCAAAAAAAAAACTGTAAACATAACACACAAGACCTGCTAGATTTTGATTCCTTGCATTCAAACTACATTTGCTCTCAAATATTTCTTGACTAAAACCATCCATACAGTTTCTGACTCACGTATTAGAAACTTCCCTAACTCCTGTATTCATACTACCTCATATTCTCCATTCATCTACTCAGAGAAATCAGAACATCACCTCTTTGCTGTACCAGAAGTTGAGAACCTCCATCCTGCTGAGTACGTGAAGAAGTTGCTCAGAACCTCACTAGAATCCAGGATCAACCTCTGTCCCATAGAATCTTTTCAGCTGCAATGTAATCTTCTACCGACTCTTATTACGTTACTTAAAGCATTACCATATTTACATGCTCAAAAATACAATGTAGATATCATGTTTCTGATGATGTGCATATTCTGAGATTTCATGCATCTGTCTGCCTAAGTAGGGAATAAATCAGTTCAGAACTTTTTGAAGAAATTAGAACTCAGAATTAGGGTCTGCAAATTCATACTTGCTTCTGATTTATAGTTCTGATATTTCTTATTTCTAAAACACTAAGACACTGGCTATAACTGTCCTATGCATATCTTCTGTTTTATGGAGAAATGACCAAGTTGCAGATGTTCTGACTAGCATAGAGAGAGAGAGACTAAGTTCTGTCAGTGGTATCAGAACTTCTGGAGTCTGTTTTGTTGCCAGTAGTGTCAGAACTTCTGGAAACTACTGCGTTCCCAGTGGGCTCAGAACTTCTGACTTTACATATTTTCACTAACAGGATTTCTATTTTGTAGTATGCTAGAGTCAGAACTTCTGACCTTATTTAATCAGCAATACGCTGATTCTTTTTTTCTTTCTTTTCTCATTATTTTACTATCAATTTCTATTCCATTAATCAGCAAACATCAAAAACATTTCTTTCACACTTTATTTTATTTCTTAAAAAACAAAAGATCGAAGGTATTTTCTTAAAATAAAACAAGTTCATTTCACATTTTCTTGTACATTCTTATATCAACATGGTTGTAATAGTAACTTAGGACTTATTTTCATTCGCAATCCCCATTTGTAAATATTTACCCCCATCCCCTAAATATTGTAATAGCGTAGAATTTCATTTTTCGCAAGTTATAGTTTTCCTTATACTGTATAGTAATTAGGTGTGTATGGCAAGATAAAATCAACAAACAGATAACCCTAACCAAAGACTAAATGCATGCAATCAAACACACTTTACACACATGCACCCTTAGGATAATCTCACTTTGTTGCCTATCGAAAAAATAGTCATGTCCCTCGAACATGGGCATTTTAGCAAAAGACCCTCGATAAAAGATCGTAGTCCCTCGATGATCCTCGATGTTGCCTTCGGTAAATGATCTAGTCCCTAAACGACTTTGCTGAAACGTTCATAGGTTGCCTTCTATGACTATGTAAGCGTCCCACACTCGTCCCTCACATCCAACGATGGGGCTTCTTACCAAAATAATGGTAAGATAACAACATCTAAAGGAGGAGGAAAAAGAACACCTAAGACCTTTTGAGTAGGTAGATTGCTCCTAGTTGCTTGCTCAATTTCAAAACAAATATCCTTGCTATTTTCAAAAACAAATCACAAACACTTTCTAAAACATGGAATATTTTCAAAAGCTCAACACTTTGTATACGTTCTTACGAACGAGAACTATTACAAAGTTTGCCTAAACGATGACACCTTTTCAAAATACTTTCAAAACCACACAAAAGCACATTTTTCAAACAAAAGCAAGTGATCTAACAAGAAACTAAGAGCCCATGAAAAACCATGGATAAAAAGGATGCTAATACCTTCCCTTTTCATAATCTACCCCCAGAACTCAAGAAAACATCTCTAAAGGTCTTTCCTATGCTTTTTCACCTTTCCTTTTGGATTAAAGAAAAGTCGTTAGCGACTCTTGCTAACCGCAACATTTGCGAACACAAACATAAAACACCTGTTGTACCCCAAAATTTTCCCTCCCATATTCTTCAAAATTTGCCAAATCAAAGCTCCAAAATCTCCCCAAGGGTTGCACAGTTCAAGGGCCTCCTAACAGTCAAAATTAGGGTTTTGGTTCTGACAAAGAAAATAAAGTTTCCAAGGGTCCAATCAAGTCCCACATGCCTATAAACATGGTCAAGTATCCTCATGTCAAGTTTCAAGACTTACAGCACAAAATTGCACAGTCAAAAACCCTAATTGCACTACAGTCAACTGTAGGGGCAAAATGGTCATTTGACAGTCAAAAGTTCAAATTTTTGGTCAACATCTCAATTTGAAGCCACAAACATCATTTGATCAATGCTTGATCATGGTTCTCAAAGCTTGGCTCAAAAATCATCAAGATGCAAAAGTTTCCATATTTGGACAGTTGAAAAAGTCAACTGTAACTTGACCAGGGCATAACTTCCACATGGATTATCAGAAAAATTCCATCCAAAGCTCATTTTGAAGAGAAAGACATTTCCTACAACTCCTTTTCACACTTCAAGTCCAATAAATGCTCTCACAAAAAGTTATCAATTTCAACATTATAGGTCATTTTCAAAAGTCAACAAAAAGGGACTTTAAGTCAAAGGCCATAACTTGAGATTGGTAAATTAAATTGACATGGGACCAAAGGCATTGGTTAGAGGACTCAAAGGCCTTTCCAAAATGTCCAAGAACATGAGCAAATCTTAAAAATTGAGCAAGTTATGCCTTGTGGAAGTTGGGAAATTTTTGGATATTTTGAAAAGTCAACATTGATTCAAATGACCTAAAAATGCTAATGGGCCTCTTTTTCTTCCACAATTCATCATCCAAGTCATGTGCACGACCATTTGGCCCAAAGGGAAGTTTTTCTTCATTTTTATTTATTTATTTGGATTTTTTATTATTAATAATTCACTTAATTAATTAAAATACATGAAAAATACCAAACCAATGCAATCAAATCTTTTTGTGCATGGAATAGGTTTAAAATTTCGTGCATGATCAGATATGGAAGGAATTGAAGTGATTGGCCATGATTTGTACCAAATAGGCATGG